CCATCCCCCCACCTCCTCATCTCCCCCTAATCTCCATCTGAGCCCTACACACAGGCTGCATTTTCCAAACTTCTTTGTCCTTCTTCTTTTAATCTAGGCTTCCACCCCCATGCCTAGGGCAGAGGTCAATACCAGCCAGACCCTCGGAAATGCCGCCATGGAGAAATGTGAGTGCCTGCAGCACGGGAGAGGTCTGGCCTGACAGGGGCAGAGCCTGGCATAAGTAGGACCTTGGCCCACTCTGTCACTGCTGCTACCAGCCCCAGGAAGGATGACTGACAACCAGCCCAGCTCCTGGGCTTGGGTCAGGCCTACTGTTGAGGTTTAAGGAGACTGAGGCGGGGCTTAGGCTCTGAGCCCAAAAGGGTGGCAGAGGTGGGGGGCTGGGAGCCGGTTGGGGATCAACTCTCAGCAGCCTGACACACCCCTAACAGGCAACCACATCTTCGTGGACACGGGGCTGCCAGACCTGGCTGTGGGGCTCATTCTGCTGGCTGGCTCCCTGGTGCTCCTGTGTACCTGCCTCATCCTCCTTGTCAAGATGCTCAACTCTCTGCTCAAGGGCCAGGTGGCCAAAGTCATTCAGAAGGTTATCAACACCGGTGAGCTCAAGCAGTGGGAGGGCGGGCCCCAGGGCTGGACCTTCCAGACCTCCCTTAGTCCTGCTACTGCCTCTCTGGATAAAGCCCTATCATCTCCGAGCCTCAGTTTCCCCATGTGAGCAAAGAAGAGTTTGGACTGGGAGATCTCTAGGCCCCTGAGGTGCTGACAGCTGGGTATCTGTGGCTGCCTCTGGCTGTGGTCCCATTCCATCAGGTGGCTCTAAAGAGATTCTCAGAGGCCACTGTTTGATTCAATCAACAAATAGTCATCAAGCCCCAATAGGGCACCAAGCATGGTGTAGTACCTGCTGGGGATGCAGAGGTGAGGCACATAGAGATGAATCCTGCCCTCGGGCGGGGGGGCACATTTAGAGAAAAAGGTAACTAACTGCCAAGAAGAAAGCAAAAATGGCAACAAAACAGAGTACAGAAGAGGCTGCTTTCAAAGGCCAGTCAGCAGCCTCTGTGTGGTGGTGACACTTGAGCGGAGACCTAAATGAGGAGTCAAGATGTGGCTGATGTGCCTTCCCGGTGGAGGGAACAGCAAGTGCAAAGGCTCAGAGGCAGGAACCAGGTGGGCAGGTTTGTAGTGGGAGATCAGCGAGGGAGTCTGAGAGAGGCAGGGCAGAGCAGATCACAGGGCCAGAGGATGGCTGAGAGCCTGGACCTCGTTCAGGATAATGGGTGCACTTAGGGATTGGGGGCAGGGGAGTGACACCATCTGTTTTTTGTTTTAAGCTTTTTTTCTGAGCTTTTTCAGTATACTGTCTGGCACAAGCGGAGGCTGTACAACGACGCTGGAAGGGGGCTCAGAGTGGGGAGAAACAAAGTCTGCCGAGGGCTGGGTCAGGGAGGGTTTTCCAGCAGCAGTGATATCTGCTCTGAGCCCTGAGAATGAATGTTTAGGAGTGGGAAGGCTGTCCGGGCAGAGGGAACAGCCCAGACAAAAGCATGATGGAGCCAGACTGAGGAGCGTCTTTAATTCAAGACCAGTAGAAGCCACTGCAGTTGAGCAGGGGACTGAGAAGGTCCCACTTGGAAGCTGGCATCCAAGACCTCCTTCACAAGGAAGGTCCCTGCTGCCCTCCCAACGCGACCCCACTGACCTTACTGGGATGGGTTTCCTCGCAGACTTCCCAGCCCCTTTCACCTGGGCCACAGGCTACTTTGCCATGGTGGTGGGTGCCGGCATGACCTTCATTGTTCAGAGTAGTTCTGTGTTCACCTCAGCCATCACTCCACTCATCGGTGAGTGCCCATGCTACGGGGAGGGGAGCTGGTAGGGAACGAGCTGAGGGGGGAGCCAGGGAGACCACTCCTCCCCTGTGCCACCAGGCTTGGGTGTGATCAGCATCGAACGCGCCTATCCCCTCACTCTGGGCTCCAACATCGGCACCACCACCACGGCCATCCTGGCTGCACTGGCCAGCCCGCGGGAGAAGCTGTCCAGCGCCTTCCAGGTGCGACTTGGAGAGTAACCCTGCCAGAGGTGGGACTGGCTGGCATGGGGGCGTGGGCTGCCCCAGGGTGGGACAGTGTAACAAATCATTTTAACTGCCTACCTAGGGGCCACCCACTGTGCCAGGCTCTCTGGCAACCATATGGCAATGTAGAGCTGGCCCCACCTTCAGGACCTTGGCATCTACCGGGGAGACACAACTCAGAATCACACCAATAAACAGCGAGGCTGTGCACTCTTAGGAAAGGGTGCTATAAGAGGGGCCTGGCCCAGTCTGGGGGATCAAGGATGAGTAGGGGGACACATGGCAGAGGGGTTGCTGTTCTAGGGGGCAAAGGAATAATGACAAGCCAGGAGCTGGGGCCAGGGTGCAGATCCAACAGGAGGCCTCCAGAAACTAACAAGGATTTGGGCAGCATCTGCTGGGGAATTCCTGGGTCCATGAGGGGGACACAGACAGCTCAGGGCAGGAGTTATTTGCCAACTGGCTCAGAAGTGTTTCAATATTTTACTGGAGGCACAACAGCCCTAAGTGGTGACCTTCCTGCTGCCCATACCAGGCAGCCCCTATTATCCATTCCTGCCGGCCTGATTCAGGAGATGGCTGGAGCCCACCTTGGCCCCTCCACTGTCTCCCCTGCAGATCGCCCTCTGCCACTTCTTCTTCAACATCTCGGGCATCCTGCTTTGGTACCCAGTGCCCTGCCTGCGCCTGCCCATCCGCATGGCCAAGGCGCTGGGCAAATGCACCGCCAAGTACCGCTGGTTTGCTGTCCTCTACCTCCTGCTGTGCTTCCTGCTGCTGCCCTCACTGGTGTTCGGTATCTCCATGGCAGGCTGGCAGGCCATGGTAGGTGTGGGAGCACCCTTTGGGGCCCTGCTGGCCTTCGTGGTGCTCATCAGCATCCTGCAGAGTCGCAGCCCCCGGCATCTGCCCAAGTGGCTGCAGACATGGGACTTCCTGCCCCACTGGATGCACTCCCTGCAGCCCCTGGACCACCTCATCACCCGCGCCACCCTGTGCTGTGCCAGGCCTGAGCCCCGCTCACCTCCACTGCCCGCCAGGGTCTTCCTGGAGGAGCTGCCCCCTGCCACACCCTCCCCCCGCCTAGCCCTGCCTGCTCGCCACAGTGCCACCCACCTCTAGGCTTCGGCCCAGACTGCCACTTGGGGTGGAGAAAGGCCTGTGCCTGGTCCCTGGGGTGGAAGGGTGGAGGGGTGCCTGTGTACTCTGGGCATGGGCCTGTCATTGTGCTGGTCCTCAGAGGTCTGGGCTGTGTGGCCAAGAGTTGGTGTATGAGCCTGTGTGTCAGCCTAAATATATGTATATGATGGTACACCTGTGGGGGCTCTGTGCGGGCTGGGTAGAATTTCCTGTCCTTTACACATGTCTTTGGAGGCCTATGCTTGTGTCCTTGTATCCACACAACTTCGGCTGGGCTGGGTGGGAGTAAGGGTGGGTCTGAGTATGTAACTTGCAGCTGTTTGCTCATGTATAGATATGATGTCTGAGTCACTGGCTGAATTCTCATCCCTTCCCTGCCACCTTCCCTCTTCCATAACACCATCTTCCTCATCCTCGCCCTGCTTTCTGCATCACCACTACAACCCCCTTTCCTAACACCGATTTAAAAAAAAGTTAAGCTCATCATGCATTTGGAAGTCGTTTGTACTTGTCTAGGGGGGAAGGAGAGACCAGGGTTTGGGGTTCAGAAGCATTCTCTCCCCCTGCCAAAGACAGCCCACTGTGCCCTGAAAGAGCCAGCCTGCAAGCTCACCACAACAATCCACCTGGCCCTGCCTTAATGAGTCCAATCCACAGTTCAGACTCCCAGGAAGCCCTGTCCCCAGGGCCTGGGGCCACCCCCAAGGCAAGTGTCAGGAGGACTCTCTGCACCTCCACCCCCAGCCCACCAGGCTGACTGCCTACAGTCTCCTCTTGCTTCCCTGACTCCCTCCCTCCTTTCTGGGACAAGATCGGTTCTCTAAAAATTAAGCGACAGGTAAGGGCTTGTCAGGGCCCCTGGAGATGGGGACCAGTAGGGTAGAGATGGGCAAGAGAGGCCATGCCCTGTGTCCCAACACACAGGGGGTGGGGACCAGCCACCCTTCCTCCAACCTTTGTCCTCTATCTTTGGCAATAAATCAGGCCTTGTTTAAACCTACTTGAGTTTTCAATTCCTCTTCCTCTATGGCCTCCCACCACCCCAGGCGAGGCCTGCAGAGGGAGGGACAAGGGGTGGGAGGTACCAAAGTTTCACCCTCCAGTCCAGGGACATCTCTGGAGACTTTGGACCTCAAGGGGGCAGGAAGGCTGTAGGGCCCAGACCCAGTAGTGATGGTCTTGGACACTCCCCCACCCCACCCCCTTTGAGGTATGTGGGAGAGACATAAGGGGCTGAAAGCCCCAGGGCTGCTCACCCAGCTACCAGCCCTACACTGGTAGCTGGGGGAGCTACCTACTCACAATCCTTGTTAGTGCTTCCTCCTGCCAAATGGAGGAGTTGAGAAGTATACTGACCTCCAGCCTGGGGAGGGTTGTGGGAGGGTGGGGAGAGGACTCCCTTTACTGTTTGTCCTGCCCAGATGTGAGGAAAGTCTTGTGGGAAAGGATGCTCAGGATTGAGCTAGAAAGTTTGAGATACTCCCTGGGACTTGCTCAACTGCTGTGTCCCAAGGACACAGGGAAGGCACCAAGGACGCCAAACTCCGGCCTGGAGAATCAGGTCAGAGGCCCCTGCAGGGCACCCATGGGAGGGCAGTGTTTGAAACACAGGAGGCTGGGAAGCCTCTAGACTCAGGATCCAATCCCCACCAGGTAACCCTCCTGCAAGGATCTTCCAGGAAATGGTGTCCTCGTCAGCACCTCCCCCTCTCTCCACCACGCCATGGAAGGATGAGTCTGCCAGCCAAGGTCTGACTTTATTTTGGCTCCTCTGCCGCCTGGCAGTCCTGCTAGGTGCCCTGAGTGCGCAGCCCGCGGATCAGCTCGTGCACCGTCTTGTTGAGGATGCCCCCGTGCACGCCCCGTCGGCCCATGAGCACGAGGAGTGCGCGCGGCGTGTGGCCCACGCAGACGGCGCGCCCATCCAACCCCTTGGTGCGCGCATCCAGCACTCCGTCGCCTTCAGCCAGCAGGTGGTCTCGGATGACGCAGCAGCGGCGGCCTGCTACGCTTAGGCCCGCCTGCAGGAAGGTGCATCGGTCCATTCCCGTGAGCACACCCACCTCCTGCGGTGAGATGGCCGCCAGCAGGCCCCCGGGCCGCGACGCCCACACGCAGCGATTGTCCGAGTGGCCCACAATCGCCACGTCGTCGATACGCTGATCCCGCAGCACAGCACTGATGTAGCCTTTCCACTCACTCATTCCGGCTCAGAGTATGCCCCTCAC